AATAATTGTTTCTGCAAAAAAGTCAATAAAGGTCTGTGGTAAAAATCAATTTCAGTGAACTATATTAATAATGACTGGTCCCTGCCTCATTAACGCTTTTAATCCGCTTTAATCCAATCAAAGGGTGCCGCGGTCGACTTTCCAAAACTCGGTGAGTCGGCGATATGGGAAGACCCCCGGTAGACTAGCGTGACTTTAATGACTTACCCAGTAAAGAACATGAAATGATCACTATCAGGCAGGGTTATACCAGCCGGTAGACTAGCGTACCAGTAACGTGTAGCGTTTAATGCCTCTTCCGCTTCAACAACTCGACCTGTTTTTATACTTTCTGTAAACCAGGAATCCACACGATCCTGTGTAAAATAAATTGATTATTTATATGATAGTTTAACTCTTTAACTATATTTATTGTAAGTAGTTAAACACTAGGTCTTGTGTACAGTGTGGGAGCCACGGTGGCTAAGTGGGTAAGACGCTGGCTCGCTAGCTAACCTGGAGGTCGCGTGTTCGATCCTTGCATTGGCCGAGAAAGTTCGTCGTCGATTTTCCGACGTGGTTTCTCCTTGTCAGTGGTGCAGGAAGGAGAGCCTGACAAGGACATCTGTCTACTTGTTCAGATGGCACGAAATCCCGAGGTCACGTGTATACATTGGCTTGCACGTAAAAGATTCCTTGGCAGTTAGAATTCGATATAAGAGTAGGGCACAGTGCCGCTGTCCAGGCAAAATTTCCCTCATAGCACACTGTATGTCGTATGCCCGTCTTCATTAGCCCAGTCGGAGCAGAACAGTAGGGCGTTAAACCCCATATCATTTCATTTTGAATACAGTGTGTAAGATGATGGCTTGCAAACCAGGAGGTCACAGGTTCACTCCCGATGTTTGCCAAGAAAGTTCCTCGGGATTTTCAGGTGTGATTTTCTTTTGTCAGTGGTGCAGGATGGAGAGACTGGCAAGGAACATCGCCTAGTCGTTTAGATCGGTCAAAAAAAACGAGATCTCGTGTGCACGTTGGGGGCCCCTTGAAAATGCCTTGGTAGTTGGAATTTGATAAGATTAGAGAGAAATGCCGGGTAAATTCTCCCGTTATAATGTGTAAACATGGCCCTGGCGTATTAAATCATATAACAATATTAAACATTCAATGAATAAATTCTTCAACATCGGGCTACATCACTTCATTTTATCTGTTCAATTAACAGGGTATAAGGGGCGATAACTCGGTGTAGCGTGTGAAAGGGCTGGACACGAGCATTGGTCGTATCTTCCTTATTAGTCTGTTACTCATTATTTACCTCTATAATTACTAAACCGGAAGTGACGACATCAAAGGCTATTGTTCCATCTACTTCATTGATATGATGGTATCTCACTTTCATCTAAAAGTGAATCGATAAAAACAAATAATCAAAACGCTTAATAAAAATAAAGAATCATAAAAATCATCTTCAGTTGGCAGCTTATGGCACATTCTGTCACGTGGCAGTATGTTTGATTTCATCTGCTGAATAACTGAGTACCCTTGAACTTTATTTCAGCTTCTTAGTGCGTGTAGTAAATTATTAGGGTAGTATCCAATCTGTTTTACAGAGGTATTTAAATCGCAATAACTATGTATAAGATAACTGGGGCCTGTTTCACGAAATTTTAACTATGATAAAAAAATCCAAATTTTAGTAATTTGATTGGATAATATTAGATTGATTTTAGTGCTTAGCCAATCAAAATTGAAGTATCTACTAAAATTTTGATTCTATCTTTAGTTAAAATTTCGTGAAACAGGGGCATGGCCTTTATGTATTGTTTAATGGTCGAGAGCGAGACATTAAGTAATATATTGTAACAACAAAAGGGCCGTAGCCCTGAGTGTTTTTACAATATATATATTAAGCAATGTCTTAAGCTCGAGACCATTAAACGACATAAAACACAGACACTCCGCACGTGCTTTTACAGCGAAATACGTCACACGAGTCCAATTTTCACTAGTATAAATAATGTACAATTGGCAAGTTGCCCCTACGAGTATTTGAAATAATGGTACGCCAACATCAAAGGGTGGCGTCACATCCGTATTTTAAGTAAGGTTAAATAACCCTCTAGCTGTGATGTCACATCATGCGGCGTCGATCATTGGCTCGATATCTCGTGCAATGTTTACACAACATGGACTGGTCCGGACAGAATGGCGCCTTTTAATCATTTTATATACTCATTTACACTAGGAAATATGTTTTATCCGGATATACTTCGAACAGCTTCATTTATTTTTATATTACTTAAACAAAACAACTTAATTTGTAGAAGAAAAAAAGTTAATAAGGCACTGACGTCGATCAGAGAATATGTTCCTGAATTTTCAAACGTGGTTTCCCCTTGTCAGTTGTGATTTATAGAGGGGCTGGCAAGCAAACAGGTCTAGTGGTTTGGGTCGGACAAAACGCCAAGGTTTTGTGTACACGTTTGAGTGCACGTTAAAGGACCCCTTGACAGATGGAATTCGAAATGAGAGTGGCCCTGCCTGGGCGAAATTTCCCTCGTCGTACCCATATTCATTAGCAACACATTATTTAATATTTTATTTATAAGCGCATGGATATGACGTATGATAAGAATTGTGTGATTAAAAAATCTTTTTCGCTAATCAAGTCAAACTCGGCAATATTTACCTTTTCTGCTATAAAAGCATAATAATTCCTCATCTCGGCTTCAGCTAACTGTAAATTGTTATTATTTCGTCCGAAAAAACTGCAATAAGATAGTAAACGTGTAAACGTGTAAACGTATCATTTAAATGTCACCAAACAGAAAGTAAACTATACTCTATTAAAGGAGCATTAGGTAAGATTAGATAAAAAGCTAACAGTTCTCGCTATAATAGTTCAAAATTAGATAATGAAAACAGAATATGCTGAAAATTTCAGTCAAATTGATTCACTCTGTACTGAGATAATAGCGATTCAATTTTGGCTAGCCTCGAACGTCATTACTGACTTTGGTGTGATAATAAACCAAGACTCGATTATCCAGTTTTACGTTAAATTATCCATCACAAATAGTATACAAATCCACTAAATATCGCCTTCGAACGATGGCATCAGGAGTTGATTATGGACCGGATAAGTTAATTAATGCCTAATTAATCGTTTGTATTACATTGCAGGCCTAAAGAAAGATCTGCAATAGGCAGATAAAGCTCTTGCATAATGCATGTGTTAAACGAATTATCAACAAAATCCTATAGAATACTGCAGTTACTGTTTGTTACCGTATATATCGACTGACGTTCCGGTTAATCTTCTCTAGTTGTCATCACCAATCTTGATACAGACAAGAGAAATCTTGCCGAAATGTCGCAGAGTAATACACAGTTATTGTATTCCATAGGATTGTTGCCTATGTATTTTACAAACGAGGTAGCTAGTCTCTAGCAATGAACATTCTTTAGATTTAGTATCCGAGTAAGCGCCCCTGACGTGTAATGGGGGTCACGGTGGCTAAGTGAGTAAGACGCAGGCTCGCTAGCCTGGAGGTCGATTGTTCGATCCCTGCATTGGCCGAGAACCGAGGTCCCGTGTACATATTGGCGTGCACTAAAAAGATCCATTGACAGTTGGAATTCGATATAAGAGTAGGCCGTAGTGCCGCTGTCCGGGCAAAATTTCCCTCATAGCACACTGTATGGCGTATGCCCGTCTTCATTAGCCCAGTTCGGAGCAGAACAGTTGGACGTTAAATTCCATTTAAGTTCATTTATTAACGTGTAACGAGTATCAGACATTGATCATATTACAAAAATAAGACGAAATCGAATGACTTTACCTGAAGAAATTTTCATAATCAGCCACAAAACCAACTTCAACTGTATAAACCTTTAAAGATCTCTTACTTCGGTGATGTTGCTCTGACAACAAATAGATAAAAATACACTTGTTCTAGAATCTCCACGGTGGCTCACGACCCTGTGTTTACGAGAATATTCATGGAGGTTCTCCCTTGCCAGTGGTGTGGGACGGAGGACCTTGCAGGCGATATACGAAAAATCGAGGTCCCGTGTACACATTTTCTTTTAAACAATATTTTTATTCAGGATGACTAAATAGGATTCGGGAACAGGTTTAGCCTATGTAAAACCCCTCTCGTAAGCGTAAAAGAATCTTTTATAGTTGGAATTCGATATAAGAGTAGACCGTAGTGCCGCTGTCCGGGCAAACTTTCCCTTATAGTCGGTGCTGAACAGTAGGACGTCCAACCCCATTTCATTTCATTTCTGTATTAGAATCTCAGTAATGGACGAGATGAACCAGTTAAATCACCCCTCCCCCCATCTAATTTGGCCAATTTAACTTTATTTTATGCAGTCTGATAAATCGGATTTTAATTACGTTTCGTGTTATTTCAAATGCGACAAAGAAAAAGCGAAATGAAATATTTGATTTAATTTAGAATTACAACCAATGTACTAAGCGAGTGTCATTTTAGCATTTGTTTTGGAATAAACAAAAATGTTTTTTCAACCCACGCGTTTAAACTATCTCTTGCGTACAGAAAACTTGTTGAAACTTTGATTGCCCAATTGACTACCTTACGTACTGTGTCACAAAATGTCATAATTAAGTAATTGGTTGCATTTTGTACTGTGCAACAGAGTCTCCCCATAACTAATTCACTACCTTGTGTGCGCACTATGTAAGAACGTCTCCAACTACCTCATGCACGATGTAACAAAGTCTACCGATCAACTAATTGACTACCTCGTGTACTTTGTAACACATTTCCCGTCGTTTCCCGATCAACTAACTGGCCGCCTTGTTAACTATGTAACATTATCCTGACTACCTTCCGTACTATGCCACAAAGTGTCATACTTAACTAACTATATTGTGTACGTAACAAAATCTCCTGATTAACTAATTGACTACATGCTGTACTATGTAACAAAGTCTCCTGATTAACTAAATGACTACCTGGTGTATAATGTAACAATGTCTCCTGATTAACTAAAATATGTCGACTCCCATCTTCAGAAGGTTTGATGTGAATCAATTTTAATCCAATTTGTAGATGCCCTTCCTGAAGAGAAATACATATACATTTAATAACGCCTATAATAATTAACTTTTAAAGTGGAATTTGGGTTTAATATGCAATTTGGGTCTATTATTTGCCCTTCTTTGTCATTAAATAATAGGTTTCGAAACATTGCGAAGCTTTGAGATGTACATATACATGAACTGAGTTCCATAGATTTTGCTCCAAATATCATATTATTATGTGCTCGAAGGGTTAATTATATCTTTACACTGGTGGTCTACACAGAGCCTCATGACACACCTTCTATCCTTACCAATGTATAATAAAGGAACTATAGATAGTCCGTGATGCTGATATCATCAGCGGCCCCGATACAGACCTCTGTGACACGCCTTCGGTACTTACCAAAGTATAATGGAGAGACTGTGGATGTCTTGTGAGTAAAATAACAGCTCTGCATGAATCATCTTTATAAGCTGCTAAGTCCTGAAATAATAATAATTATAATATGCGTTTCATATATGCACATTTATTCCATTTGATACTTTCGTTAACACATTTGTTTACATTCAATTACTTGCATAATTAGGCTTTATGTGACGCTCGGTTTAAACATCCAAACCTCGGATGCTTTTGTAGCATAATACCCAGAACATGTACCCGGCATTCGCGTTAAGATCAAGATATTGCGAGAGTTGATCCGCGGATCTATTGAATAGATCACAGCATCCACAGAGAAGTGGTCAGATTATCGCAAGAAAAGATCGAAGCATCTTGGGACATCCGGGGATCACTGGAGTAGATCAGCTAACCAGGAGATCCTTTTATATAGTGCACACGATAACCAGTTAGCTGATCACGAGACCATGTTACTCAGTAACCAATTAGTTCATTAATCAATCAATTAATTAGGAGACCATGCATTATCCAAGATGAGCAGTTAGTTTATTAGGAGACCATGAGTTATCCAAGATGAGCAGTTCGTTTATTAGGGGACCATGGGTTATCCAAGATGAGCAGTTAGTTTATTAGAAGACCATGAGTTATCCAAGATGAGCAGTTAGTTTATTAGGAGACCATGAGTTATCCAAGATGAGCAGTTAGTTTATTAGGAGACCATGAGTTATCCAAGATGAGCAGTTAGTTTATTAGGAGACCATGAGTTATCCAAGATGAACAGTTAGTTTATTAAGAGGCCAGTATACCCAAGATGACGAGTTAGTTCATTAGGAGACCATGTTACCCAAGATGACGAGTTAGTTCATTAGGAGACCATGCTACCCAAGATGACGCGTTAGTTTATTAGGAGACCATGCAACCCAAGATGGCGAGTTAGATCATTAGGAGACCACGTTACCCAAGATGACGAGTTAGATCATTAAGAGACCATGTTACTCAGGATGACGAGTTAGTTCATTAGGAGACCATTATACAGAATATGACGAGTTAGATCATTAGGTGACTATTATACCCAAGATGGCGAGTTACTTTATTAGGAGACCATGTTACCCAAGTTAACCAGTTAGTACACCATGTGATATAGTACGTATGGTAACGAAACCATGCCTTTTCATTGAATAATGAGATGGATAACTATGCATGGTAATATTACACTGTTACAGTATTTAGTATCTGTCATATTTGTGGACTTTGAGTTTTATTGCCCAATAAGATGATGAGTGACACTCTTTTATTCTTACTTCTTATGAGGTGGGGTTGGATGACCGAATGGTTAGCACTTGCACGCTGTAACATAAGGCCTGTCATTGAGTCAACTGGCGTGTTTTCAATTCCACGGTTGTACGCGAAAAAGAGTAGGGTCGCCTGTCCAACCTCGTGGGTTTTCTCCGGGTCCTCCGGTTTCCTCCCACTACTAAATACCCTAAGCTCAAGCGAATTATTGAAATAAAATTGAACCATATGGTAGTCCCGAAATGGCCTAGTTTGTGTCGAGTGGACATTAAACCCCATTTTTCTCTCTCTACTTATATACATGTAGGTGGTTTTAAATGCTCGTTTTCTAAATGGTGCTAGATATCTACTGCATACTCTCTCTCTCTCTCTCTCTCTCTCTCTCTCACACACACACTTCTTACGAGTATGATCAAAGAAAACGATGACTGCTACAAATGACAACCTACCTCTCTTTCATTTTGTACAACAGAAATACGATTCTCTTTAATGGCGTACGTAGGGAGCGGTGGTATTTTAACCAATCGTAAGATAGCACTCCTCCCTCTGTCGGATCGAACTCTAAACGTGACTGACTCGGGCATTCTCTTGATGTCATGTTTAAATGACTTATGTCCAATATCTGTTTCATTTACTGTCAGTAATTCTACATCAATCGTTTCTGCAAAATAAAATATAGCTTTAAGACGGTCTATATTTTGTATTCCGGAATAGAATCAAAATGTGTAGGGAACAATGTAAAACAATTAGTAACAAATGATTTCTCTTCGACCCCCGTTTACTACCTGAAGCATTTATCAGAATTGCACTCAGATTTGACACGATTTCATTAATTGTAGTTAATTTAACCAGTTTTGAACATACACTATTCTGAATAGGCTATTGAATCGATGTATATATGGGTTATACTGATTTGAATTCGTATACATGTATTACTACATACTTTATTTGTGGAGATAGTTAACCTTTATATGGACTCCCGTTGCGGCAATTTGCGATTTTCACTTCTCGCGTCCCCCCAGCTTAAGACATCATAGCCTTCTCGCGCACTAGTCCACGACTTCTGGTTGCCTGACGTTCTCGCTTCGTCTGCATCTTGTCTTGAACATTGTGTACAGGTAGCACGATTTACCATCACCCCCCACGCCACCTCCAATATTTTTCCACTCTTATCCCATTAATTTCATAATTGAATGTTTCTGGTGCCAAATATGTTATTTTTGCTTTCAAACAATCATCTTGTGCACTTGGTAATAGAGAAGGGACAAAGCTCGTGTATAAAAGCGGTTACTTCCATCTCGATTTCTGACCTTCTCGGCTTCCCTTTATGAAATGACCGCAACAGGCTTTCGTACCATTAAGACCGGTATAACTGGTGTGAAAAAGTTATTTTCCATTAAACAATTTCACGAGAGTCAAAGAAGAATATGATAATAAAATAACATAGACCTAGTGTCATACGTGACTCAATAGAATTAATCTACACGAAGACAGGGTTGACTGATTTCTTAAAGTGTCTTATCGCTGACATTGATCTGTCTCTACCTACTTAAACAAAATAGGTTCTCAACCTCTAACTTGGGTTTGAATTACAACAGTATATGAATAGGATATGACTTATTGTAGATGTGTTTTGATATCATAGTTAAGTAGTTAAGTACATGTATAGAATTAATCGTGACATCGGGGTTTGGAGAGAGAGAGAGAGAGAGAGAGAGAGAGAGAGAGTTTAACATCCATTCGACACAAACTAAGTCATTATTTACATGATTCGCTTGCGCGTAGGGATCTTTAGCACTGAGAGGGAACGCGGAGAAAACCCATGAGGTTGGACAGTCGACCCTACTCCTTGTCACGTACAACCGGGGAATCGATACCATGCCAGTTGACTCAATGACAGACCTTATGATACAACGCTTACGCGCTAACCGTTCGGCCATTCCACCCCGAATATATGCATGCGATATGAGTGTATACAAAGTGATTTCCATACAAATTTTAAAACATATTTTCAAAAATATTTTGATTTCTAATCAATTATGTTCGTTGAAATACCTGAACAGTATACGGTAGTATACGCCTGCACGGATTTTGTCTATTCCGTCACGTTCACGTGGGGAATCTAAACCACTCCACTTGACTCAATGACAGACCTTCTGATTTCAAGTGCACGCGTTAAGATAACAACTTCAGTATTGATTGAAATAGACCAATATTGAAGTTTAATTCGTGTTTTTAATTTCGAATATAATGAATTATATCGTGTTGGAGGTTTAGCTTAGTAAGGAGTTTCTAGTCCTATAAAAAAAACTTATTCTTGCTAAAATACCCGAAGACCTGTTTATTATATTTACCGGAGGACATGAATTATGCAAAAATCACAGTCCCCAAAAATACACTTACCGGGAAATGATGCACAAAGCCCCAAAAATACACTTAACGGGAAATGATGCACAAAGCCCAAAAAATACACTTACCGGGAAATGATGCCCCAAACCCCCAAAAATACACTTACCGGGAAATGATGCACAAAGCCCCAAAAATACACTTACCGGGATATGATGCACAAAACACAAAAATACACTTACCGGGAAATGATGCACAAAGCCCAAAAATGCACTTAACGGGAAATGATGCACAAAGCCCCCAAAATACACTTAATTGGAAATGATGCACAAAGCTCCAAAAATACACTTACCGGAGGACACGAATGATGCACATATCAAAGTCGATATTAAAACACTCAGTAACATAGTCGCAATCGTTGTTAAATATATCCAAATGTTATTGATAATAATAAACAATTATCCAAAAATACAGCAGTCTGATAGCTATGTGAACTCCTCACATGGGAAGTCGTATGAGGTGTTCTAGAAGGGACAACATAGTAAAATCTTAAAATCAACACTTAGTGATACGTTCTATATAATCCTCTATTAACTCTTCTATCTATAGTCGATCCAAATAACACGATCGCTAGATGACCAATGCTTTCATTCTGTTGATTTCTAGTGGCTTATATAGAAAACTGAAAATACTATTAACAATATCACTAAAATAACTTTCATTAATGAAAGATCCAATTCGCATGGTGTCAAAAACAGCCCTTGTTTATAAACTTACTCATCTGCTAAAAATATACTCTGACGCCACAAAAAGGGGTCTCCTAAAATTGTTAGTGTTTATTAGAACATGAAATGACCGTATTCGTGAGGTTCAATGGCATTTAGGTACTTCCCGATATAATAAACTGGCTGGGAAAGTTATGCACTAAGTATAAAAGCTGATCCGTTGGAGCGGATCCGTAATATTGAACATAGAGAGAAGCATGCGCTTGGGGGTGTTTTATTTTTCAACACTAGACGTTTCTGGTTAACAAGTGTACCTGTAATCTAGTAGCCAACCAGATAGCTCGTGTTATTCCTACGTTCTGTTAATGATGTCGTATTTACGTCATTACGACTTGAAAATAATGCTCCTCACTTGTTGTAGTCTCGATTGTCAAAATGCATATCGAGTAGAAGACCTGCAACGTGATTTTGCAACTATATTCATGTTGAAATCTCCCCCTTTCTCTTGTGTAGAACGAAAGGGGACAATGTATAGTCGTTTGGATGAGACAAAAACCCAGGTTCCGTGTACACATTGGCGTGCACGTAAAAGAGCTCTTGGCAGTTGGAATTCGATTTAAGAGTAGGCTGTAGCTCCGCCGTCCGGGTCATATTTACCTCACAGTAGTCATAGCACACTGTATTGCGTATGCCGTCCCAGTCGGAGCAGAACAGTAAGACGTTAAACCCCATTTCATTTAGTTTCATTTCAAGTCCAAATGTCTTAGTTACCGTAGTGAGCATGTACTCTTACCCATGTGTGTTTATTTAATCGTCTAGATCAGTATTTAAAGTTATATTTTAATTGATTTTTTAAAGAAAGTGGCAATTGGCCTTCTGGAACACAATAGTAACCAAGACACTGTATCGCTAATATGGAGCTTCCAGTGATGCCTGAGAAATAGTCCGGGAGCTAGGTGGGTTTTGTTCAACATGGAAGGTGCGGAAGATTTGGCATGCTAGTGGTGTATGGCAGGGTTAGGAGACCCCAGAAACCCAATTCTTAAGTTGCGCCAGTGGTGGGTGTGGTAGGAGGAGCCACCCATAGTACCCCCCAAAATGGGTTTATTCAACATGGAAGGTGCAAGTTCCACTTCAGTGGCATTTGATAAAGGAATGTGCCCTGAATTAGGAAATATAACTTAAGAATGGGATTTTTGGTGGAAAGGTCACTTAAGAAGAGATCAAAGGTCACTAATTAGCAATTTTTCGATTTTACTGAAAACGATTTTTCTATTATCTCGTGATCTATTCCAAGTATATCGCACAAAACTACATGGACATTTTTGATAGTGCTAGGAGCAAAATATGAGACATAAAATAAATGAAGTTTTAGCTAAAAGTATGACATTATCTCAAAAATAACGAAAATATCACTCGAACCCCATCGGTAATTAAAATGTTAATCAACATGAAAGGTGCGAGTGAGAAACCAAGCCTAAATTGTACGGAATGATATCAGAAATTATTATCATCAACTTAAGAATGAAATTTCTGGTGGTCAGTGTACTTAAGAAGAGAATAATGCTGGTCTGCACCGAATGACCCCTAATTAGAAATTTAATTAACGTGAAAGGTGCGACATTGGAACAAGGTGTAAAATGTAGGGACTGATCATAGGATTCACAACCATTAACTTAAGAATGAATATTTAGGTGGTAAATGAACTTAAGAACACCAGATGTGACCAATAACCTTAAAAATCAGTGACAAGCAGTGCAATATGCCCACAATGCTATGTTTCCTCTTGATCTCTGATAGTAACACTGATACATTAATTACCGCCCACTTCCTTCATACTAAGAGTCATTTAAAACATAGATCTATATGTCATTTTAAGACAACTGTCTTCATCAAATGGAAGTATGATTCCTCCCTGCGAATCAAAAGTGTCACTACAGATGACAAGGGCATCTTTGTCGCAAAGATGGCGGGAAGCGCTGATAAATCAGGAATTACCCAGCACCCATCGCCAGAAGATAGTTGAGAGAAGGACAGAATGAAATCATGCCTTTCAATGGTCCTGAACTCCGGGAGTCATTGGTTGAAGAGGACATTGAGCAATCTGATCAGGATACCTCTGATGACGACTTTGACACTGCTGCCTCTGATGAAGACAGTTACCTTAACATGACATATAGATCTATGTTTTAAATGACTTGTGAAGACGACGTATAAATAAAATTTTGGGACACAAATGTCTAGATAGTTCCATTGTTCTTTGTTTTGCACACTGAAAAAAAACTTGTGTTGAAACAACACAAACTTGTGTTATTTTCAACACAAGTTAGGTGTCTCTATTTAACAACACAATCTTGTGTTAAATGTTGAAACAACACAATCTTGTGTTAAATGTTGAAACAACACAATCTTGTGTTAAATGTTGAAACAACACAAAACTTGTGTTAAATGTTGAAACAACACAAAACTTGTGTTAAATGTTGAAACAACACAAAACTTGTGTTAAATGTTGAAATAA